GTATCAGCAGCATGTGATTGTGGGACCTTTGATCAATATGTATATAAATAGACATATTTTTGTTTTAATTGTTGCATTAATTTTAATGAAAAATAAAAATTACTCACAAAGTTGGTCAAGTGAATGTACAAAGTATTTATTTCTTTATTTAGTACAGCACATGTTACAATTATGTACTTGTTTTAATTGCGTGAGTGTGCATGGCAGACTTTTTTATTTTAATTGTGCACACCCACTTATGAGTAAATTAACCTAGTTTTTGTTTATGAAAATCTAAAAAGTTACCTAATTGAAATAAGATCATTTCTATAACTTGGTAAACCTAGTCAGTTAAAATTATATCACAAACATCTGTCAACGTACACTCATGCTTTCCTTTACCACTTGAGTCTCCCACTCACCATGTCGCTTTATGAAATTTTTTTGATAAAATCCTATTTTAAAAAAGTCAACCCTATACTTGATATGCTGAACATAGACCTCTAAGACATCTCCTGTGGCAATTAGTCGGTGCAAATATTCGCATAGTTGAGAAGCAAGATAACCAATGTGTGTCCATCCAGTTCCATAGTCTACATCAATTGCAATTGCACTTGGGTCCATTGGATTCAATGGCTCTGGCCGTATTCTTACATTTACTGGTTTATCTTGTCCATGAAGAACAAGGTATGCTGTTGATGTTGGTAATTTTTCTCTTGAGCAGCACCAATGCACTTGAATGGTAAAGCATGGGTGATTTCGTCCTCGTCACTTTCATCCTCACCACTTAACTGGTCACCACTTTCTGCCCTATCACCTTCATTACCATATCCATGCTGACCAGGTTGAAGACCAGACAACCACTCAAGTAGATCTCTTTCTACAAAATCATAACAAGAAAATTTTTATTTTATTATTTTGTACATAAGCTGTAATCTCTAAAATTGGAAATCTAATTCAAAAGTGTGTCACTATTTACAATAATATTTATAGAACAACACACAAATATGGCAATATTTTACAGATGAAAATTGAAAAATATCACTATTGTATGCACATATATGTAAAAATCTATCCACAAAGATGCAAACAGGCATCATACTTCAGCAAAAATTTATTAAACAATCTGTTTAACTCAAAGCATGTACATATGTATCACAGTGACAGACAGACACACACACACACAATAGGGTCAAAATTACAGTACAAGGTTAAAAACAACAAAGCGGATAATAATTTGACTAAATAACAAGGTAACTGTAATGCATTGTAGTATACCAACCTTAAAGATTGCGCTTGTTTCACGTTGATGATACACGGAGATTTAACGTCATCCAAGTTTAATAGAAAGAAAAGCCTCGCTACTGGGAATATAAACACAATTACTTCGCTCAGACGCATTTATATTTATCAAGCTAAAATGACAACATGTCCCATGCAAATATTTAAAAAAGGTAAACTTGCTATAGTAAAACACAAGCCATAATGATGATCGCAACAATACAGCAATAACGTGCTGTTTCTTTTCACAAAGTATCGCAGCCTGACACTCTTGTGAGTCTTGTCGTTCGAAAGCTTCCATACTGAGTCAGAGAGATGTTCACTCCTCGACAGTCAACAGTCAATGAAGTCACGCGCGGAATTAGGCGCTCAATACCCATGATGCTTTGCGGCCTGCTGTCCAACCTCCTCTGTGTTGTCGTTACAGATATATTGTTAGCCATTCCGAATAGTCTTTTTGCTTCGTCGTAAAAAATTTCGTATGTTAAGCCTTGACTGTATGCGGCATTTGGCTTTCCCTCTATCGTGACCTTTACCTTCTCGATTCTTGGAAAAACGTATTCCTCGCTGTCGGTTACTGTTCTTTTTCTGAAAAGTAAAACCACAGCCCTCATGCTTTCCCTCGGAACGTCTATGCTCTCGTTGAACCTTGTGGCATCCTTCGCCCACACGGTCGGTTTCAGCAATGTTCTGTGTTCGTAGGATAGGGACCTGCCGGTTTCGTATCCTTCGTTTACTCGTTTGGCTAGTTCTTCGTTCTCTATGGATTCATATTCCAGGTGTTTGTTTTTCAGCGTATATCCTTCCACCTTCTCGTTTGCCTGTGCAACCATAATCTTGTCGGCTTTTGGAAGGGTTACCGTGTACTCGAATCCGCTTTTCATGTTGTATGGTGCGTATGGACCATGATCGTTGAGAATTTTTCCAAGTTTCATCTTCTGCTCCTTGTATACCTTCGCCATTATCAGGTCATAATCGCCGTTCTCCTTTGCGGTCAGATAGATAGTGTCATCCTTCGATAACATCTTTCTTGCGTTTTCGTTCATAATTCCATATTCTACCATGTTAGCTCTTTTTGAGTCGATCTTCCAGAGATCTTTATAGACTTCGATTAGGCTTTCGCCGTTATTGTCGTATACTATCTCACCCCCCACCCTTATCATGAGTCGCTCGCACAGAAGTTTACCGAGGTTATTCATGAACCAGGATTTGGTGTTTTCTTTCTTGAACTCGTACGACAGGCGAAACGAGTCCGGAACAATATAGGTGTTCGGTTCCAGTTTTGGAACTACAATCCGGATGTCGTTCCCGGGGTTGGATTCGTTTGGGGTGAATGTAACGAAGTTACATACTCTGTTTCCTACAACGTCAGAGGTTAGTGCCCTTTTGAAACCGGGCGTAAGTTCTTGACTTCTCTTTTCCATTCTTTTATTATAGTACATTAATTATTAAAGTTTTCAAACTTCGGTTTCGCTTCGCTTTGCCTATGGTTCGACTCGTCCTGTACTTGTGGTTCTGTTGTATGATTAGACTTGTCCATAGGTCTGACCTTACAGTATACGTAGTAGATTCCTCCTAGCGCAACTGCTGCGGCTCCAGCGTAAATTAGCGTATTTACTGAGTCACCTTGATCGAGGTTATTTTCAGCGTTACATGTACGTCTTTCTTCGGCCTTCTTTGCTTTTGCTTCCCTAGATATTGCAGCCAGTCTTTTACCTGATTCTACCCTTGTCGGATCCTTTGGTTTTTGGGTTTTTTTCTGCTTTTGTTATTGTCGGCTCATTCATACTTTATTTAATATACTTACTTTTTTAGGATTTCTAGTCAAATTTTAGTCAAATTCTAGCCAGAGCTAGTTGCAGCATAACCTTAACTAGATTTCAACATAACCTTGACTAGGTTTGGCATCTAGTTAAAGTCTAGTTAAATTCTAGTCAGAGCTGGTTGCAGCATAACCTTAAATAGTTTCAACATCAGCTTAGGATAATTTCGAAACCAACTTAAAGAAATAATTTTCCATATAATAAAAAGTATGGATTTTCCTACGACAGCACCGGAAGAGATTCGTCAGTTGGAACCGCCTCCTTCAAATTGGTTGGTTCTCTTCAAGCAGGCGGAAAAGGTGTATCTGGATCTTCTTGCCCCAAAGGAACCTGTGAAGTTTCCGAATAAGCACTTTTGCTCCGAGGGAAGCAGGCATCATCTCATCTCCACAGACGGGTTTCGAACGTGTTGGTCGTGTGGATTAGTTGTTGGTAGGGTTTGCTATCCCTGTTACGATTGTAGGGACAGTGTGATTACGAGAAGTCGGGGAATGGACATTGATGGTAGGTTCGAATCATTCTGTACCAGGGGGAAAATAACATATTCCGATCTATCAGCATATGAAAGACGTTTGACAGCAGAAAACATTCGGAAAGTTTATAAGGTAGAAAAACCTGAAAGAAAAAGACTTCCTAATCTCAATATTCTAGCTTACCAGATATGTAAAAGACATAATATAAAGTTGAACGAGAAGCTTCTTAATATTCCGGTAAGCAAAGCTTCACACGACCGGTGTAAAAAAGTATTCCAAACACTGGGCTGGGAATACATTGACCAGTCATCGTCCTTGTAGGCAGTGATGTATACCTAACGCCCAACGGTATATAGTTCTGTGACGTGGAGGACTGGTAAAAAAAAAATTAATGCTTACTTAGCATTAAAATTGGAATAGTAATTTAAGGTTAATGATGACGAGAAGAATTTCAACCGTTATCGGGATGAGTAGGCAGAACACCAGACTCGTCCATATTAGTCTCCGTAGTACTCGGGTTCCGATCATTTGTTTTATCATACTTTTTTGCCGTTGTACTAACGTATCCAATTTGGGTGTGAGCGTTGATAGTGAGATCACCGCGTTCTATACCAATTCCGAAACTGGAACATTTTCCCTTTCCGATGGTTTTTATCATACTTCACTTCATTTGTGGTCTCGGGTTTTGTGTGTAGATATTCCATTTTATTTATTTTTCTTTTTATTTTTCGCTGACTTTGGTTTTTCTCCCTTCACAGCTTTTGTTGACGGTCCCGCTTTGCCTTCCTTACACGACGTAACGTACTTGATGTTGGTTGTCTTGGATTTAACATAACCGAGATTCAGTCCACCTTTACTGAGTTTTATATCGACGTTGACGGTTTTGTCCCTCTTTAAATTTTCCTTAACTTTGATGCTGTCGCTATTCATCCTTTTACTAGTACGAAAAGAAAATCCATCTTGAAGTGATAACCCCACCAACAAACATAGTGCCGAGAAGGTAAATTAGATTGTTTGATGTTTTCGGTATGCTTACCGTGTTAGGATGTGGTATAGGGTTCTGGTCTTTGCGTGGTATGAGGCTTTGATTCTTTACATCCGGACTCTTCTTTGTCTCCTTAGGCTTTGAGTAGTTAACGTCCGTATTACTACCAAATTTCATGTCCTTTGTTGCTAGTGTCAGTGTATTGTTGTATCCTGCCATTTCTTCCTTGAGTATAATCATATTGGATGGTATTAATATTAGTCTGGATGATTTTTGCCATGTTAAGTACAACGTTAGTATCCTTTATTGCTTTCCTCATATTGGAGATGGATACCGATACATCGTCTTGCGCAACGGTGTCTTTGAAAAGTTTGTGAAATACGTCCTGAGTCTGCAGGGACTTCGCTCCCTTACCAACGATAGACCAACGTGTTTGTGCTTGCGCACCTAATACGCAATGGGCATAACTTTCGACAGATTGTTGAAGTAACTTTAATCCTAAAGGCGTCAACCCGTCTGATTTCTTAGCTATGAATTGGGTGTAGTCCGTATCGCTTTTGTTAGTGACACTGTCTACTTCCTGATAGCTAATTCCCATCACACCACCAGTATGGTAGTATGAATACTTATAGTTTCTAACCCTACTCTTATCCGGAAGTCTGCTGTGCCAAAGACCTATTTCCATTTGTCCTCGGTGGAATTTGTTAACCCATGTTTTCCGTGTGGGCATGTTTCTCTGCAGGGATTTTAGAATATCCCTTGTTACATATTTTGTCATTTTGCTCGGATTTCTGAGGAACCTACGCATGTGGTAGCATAGGTGATACCTAGCAATACTCGTGATTATCTTTAAGGTTCCCTTGCTTTCCAGTAGGTGTTCCATACTTATCCCACACTTATACGTGATAATGTAAGCAGCCAGTATCGATGCAAAATAGGGGTCTTTTATATAATTGAACTTTACCCTGGTAATATCCTTTGCAGTACCAGTCCAATTTGTGTCGAGATCGGCAAAGTTGGATACATAACTGTTGTGAGAGGTGTTGGTACAGTCGCAAACGTAAATTTCAAACCTATTCATTTTGTATGGACGTGGGTCCCTGTTATGACTAAAGGTTTGAACGGTTCCATAATTACCCCATATTCTCTCCCATTGGTAAAGTACCACGTCCACTTTCTATTTCCCCTGAATGTT